GGCCCGCATCTGACGCTGACAAGGCAATTGTGGCAATTAGTGAGTCGAACGCAAAGTTTCAAGTCAGCACCGCATCAATTAAGATTCAAGCGGTGTCTACAGAAGTGAACAATTATCACACACACGCAAATGACCACTAGGAACTATAAATACCGTGCAGCCTGTGCATGTCTCCACCCCATCTGCGCATGACCATGATTACTGGTGTGCTGAGAATGGTCGAGTTGCGTCAGAGTAGTCAAGCGATTAAGGATACAACTGTTTGGAAATTTAAGTGGATAAACTAGTCCCCTCTGTAATCTATGAAGCCACAACGAAGCAAGGTTATTAAGTTCATAACGTTGTTGGTACGACAGGTTATGGCGTTCTGGTGGGAACACTCTTTCAGTAAACAAATACTGGACCGATTCAATTTTCTTCTGTTTACTACGGTACAGAAGACTAAACAGAAAAAATTATGTTCCGGACCAGGTCTACTGTACAATTTAGAAAGGCTTCTTCTAATGTTTGTGGTTTAAAATTTCCTGAGAATAAACTCGGTAGTTTGGCGTGCTTTTGGGGCAATCAGGGGCACTTCTCAGTCAGATTGAGACTATTGGAATATGACGTATGGATTCATAGTGTGAACAAGCACTGGCAAATATATCCCAGTCCAAGTGTCTTTCAGAATTCATGGTTTGAGTTTAAGTGCTTGACAAACGTGTTGTCATTAAATTTTTATATGCGGTAAGTGGACAGAATTTAATAAAGTACATTAGTCAGTATATTTGGAGTAAGTAACAGAAGTATTTGAAAATTCTATTGAAACGTTGGTAGAAGAATGCACTAAATGTAGTGAAATGTGCAAAAATTGGTACAAGTGGCTTTTGAAATGCACAAATACATAAAATATTTAGGAACCATGAATGGTTGACAGGGTGGCACGTTTTCGGAATCGCACCGTACAAAACGTATACAGTATATCCACTATAAAAGATCCGTCTGGGCTACATTTAGTTCTTTGACGATGGAAGCGAGCGGCCTTTGAAACGTCAGTTCAAATATAATTTGGTCCACGAACCCGCCACAACTTCCTCTCCCTCTTCTTTGGGAGACAATGAACGCGATAACATAACTGAATGCCAATACTTTAGATAAACAATCGTTAATCCTTAATCATGGAAACTCTAAATCTTAGGACGCGTTTCCCGTTCATCATGAAATTTAAATTCGCACAGGCTTTTCTAACCGAAAGGGCTACTGCTCAGTTTATTAATAAACGTCATCAAATAAATCAATGGTATGGCACAATTTTCTAACATTATGCATGTTTTCTGTGCCGGCGAATCCCATTGCGTAAAGTCGACTAAAATATCAGTTTCTTCGGACTACTCAACCGTGGATTATGCCGAAGTAATACATCTCTCACACATTGACGTTGCTTACAGTAGATCACAGCTGTCAAAACATTCGAAAAATCTGGGTCATTCATATAAAATAACCTCCTTAGGGTGAATGCTTCCTTTTAAAGTAATTAACACTACGTAATCTGACGAAAAGTATTAAGTTAACCGCCTCTTAATAAAGAACAAAAAAACACAGGTTTATCACCCGAAAACTAATATGCTTTATTTTTTTAGGGATTACGAGTTATGCAGTTGATTTAAACAAAGCCTTATTTATCATTAGATGAGCAATTTTTAAATTGTGTTAAGCAGCGTCTCGCATCACTACGTTGTCACAGGCAGCATTCCTTCCTGAATGTTACGCAGCGTTTTTGTAAACTCCAGTTGTAAACATCAATTCGGACTGTAGTCATTTGCTTGCCAAACCGTCTCGAAACTTATCTTGGCCGTAGCCGTAATAAATGGAGCCATATATCTCAGGCACTGGGGTATCAGTCCGTTCTGACACTCAGCTTTGCAGAGTTATTAACCGTACTGGCAGCCCACATACTAGTTAAAAGTCTAGTGCGCTGCCAATATGATAAAAGTACAACATAAGGTTAAATTTTTGCCTCTTCGTTGAGAGCATGTGTATATTACTCAGTTATTTTGCAGTGACTGATGGAGTTTGACTCAAATATGTACACCAGATTTCGGTCTACGCATATAAACCTTGAAGAAACCGATATACATACACCGAGCACCGAACGTAACTCTTAAGGAGACTCAGCTTTGCAACCGACTGGATCGAGGCTCGTCTTTCCACAGTTTCGATTCCGATGCCTAACGTAGCTCTTTCTGTCGACGGAAGCTAGGACGAAAATTTGATTCTCCCTAGCATGGCTGTCCATCGTGCATCGGAATAAGTAGCCAATAGTCAGAAGGCGTTAATACGATAGTATCTAGCCCCCTCTCTCCTTCGTCACAGTCCTTTCTCCTAAAGACAAGCCGATGTCAGCATGAGCAGAGGTGAGTGTGGAAGATGTCTATGCAGTCGACACACGATCTTCTTCTCCAACACTGATAAAGACATTTCTTAACATCAAGAGTTTTATAACGAGCACAGTATTAAAAAAGGCTTTAACAGTTAGCGCCCCATGCACCGGGCAGCTGTCTGTTAACCAACTTGTCTCTGGTGATAGCTTTTAAAGGATTTCAAAATGCCAAACGAATCAACGTCTTGCCTCAGCGATCACATTTTGTTCCTCTTTATCAAGATAGTGGTTGACGCGTCTAATGTATATCACCAGTGGCATGAAATGCAGTAATTATGAACTCGTGAAGATGTTGGACTGCCCACAAAAATGTTCTATGTATCAATCCGCTGACGGCACAGAAGCTAGTATCGCAAAGTCAAATCTCATTCACAGTCACGAGAAATACATTTTGAACATTTTTTTATAGGAAGTTCCCCAATTTAAACACGCTAAGATCATTATGCTTGAAAATCCTACTCCAGTATGTTGTCTCTAATCAGATTGGAAGTTCATGGCTGCAAGTAAGTCGACAGATGTCGCATTTGCTCAGTTAACTGGATTTGGCGCCCTGAACTGCGGCGTTGATAACTGAGATATCCAGGAAATAATCCATGAACATGTATCACAACAGCTCTGACAGGAGATGAACTATTGACATTTATCATTTAAGATCAAGCAGTTTTGTATTCAAACTAGCCTGAGCGAACTAGTGACTGACTACGCTCTCCATTGCTCAAGAAGAATACCCATTTGATCGTTGCAGGTTAAATCATATAACCAAATAACGAGTTTTTGGGAGTCTTTGAAAAAATATTCCCGCATATGTTTGACTGGTTGATTGTCTTCAAAATAAAAAAAATAGACGAAAGCGATGATGCAGTTTTAGATACTCTGCAGCGCACTCCTCCTGGCCATTAAATCCGAGTTCGTGTGACCTCTACAAGACA